GGAAGGAAGGTTGGGCAATCCTACTTCCGTAGTGATACTGCCTTGGAAACCCAAGGAGGTGTCGCTATGAGTCGGGTTTGACTCGACGGCACATAACAACAACAACAGGCATAGTATAATTCATGAGTTTCATAAAGACTAGTAGCAATAACTAACTGGTGGTAGATGGACTTTACCTAAGTATTCCTTGGTAGTGTACAATTTAATCCCAGAGTTGAGAGGGCAAAGGGCTTGTTTCTACAATCTCCAATATTTCACAGATGAAACTTGAATTTTGTGACAAGCAAATCAGCGTTACTCAGCATTCTGATTAAAAGTTTCGGATTATGTTAGAAAAACATCAAAAACCCTAAACACCAAGTGACTGTCTATAGAAACTTGAATCGATTTCAAAACAGTATGATTTTAAAAAAATCACCTGCGGTGGCAAATATGATTGCTAAGTGTTTAAAAGCATGAACTAATGATACAGACTTGCCATATAATAAAATGCCCCATTTCTAAATACTGAAAAGCATCTGGTGATTATAAGGATTATATTGAGTTAGTGAGCTCACTAGTATATCTAGTACATTTGAAATACTTAGGGAAAAATATTTCTTATCCAAATTTGAAAGAAACATCATCACTTACTTCAGCTAAAATTATACTGAACAGTATGTTTTCACTGTTCACTGACTAAATTCCATTGAACGAAAATAAGGAGAAATTATGAAAAGTATGCTAAAGAATATGAAGAGTCATTCATTGATTAGAGGAGGCACTGCTTGTAACTAACTGTCCAGGAGCTTACACTTTAATATACTCTTCAAAATAAAATAATAAAGGAATCTCATGCAGATATTATTTTAAAATATTAACATTTCTTATTCAGCATGATATGAAAAATGTGTCATCCAGGAATAAAATGACTGGTGCTTTTATTTACTAGAAAAGTACAAACTTTATTCCAATTCCACTGGGTATGAGCTCCGTTACCTTGCCTCCCTGCTACCTCTAAATTGTGCTGTTCCTTCCTTCATTTCTGTATCAGAGCAAAGCTCTCTTTGTTCTTCAGAGCATTCTAACCTTTACCTTTGCTTCAATCTCTTCCTCTCAACTTCTTCCCTGTCTTCAAAAATAACCAAGTCTACTAGAAAATCTTCCAATGAACTCTAATGATTCCTCAATCTTATTACTAAATAGCTTAGTAAGTAGTACAAGTTGGTTTCCTCTCAAGGTGAAAATAGCTTTTTATTACTTCCTGATTATGAAAGAAAGTTATCCAACTTGAAAATGGATGAGTGGGTGGTTCCGGTAAGATGGCGGACTAGGCAGAAAGACTGCACAGACCCTCTTCAACAAAGAAAACGGAAACCAATTAACACAGACACAGAAGATAATCCTGG